ATGACAGTTAACTGGGATTGTTGCCAACAGAGTTGAGCAAAAATTAGACATATTGTCCTTCACGATATTCTGATATTTTAACATTTTTGTCCCAAATCAGAACAAAAAGTTGAAAAGCTTTTGTTGTGTAACAAAACATTATGCAAATTTGTAATTAAAATTGTGAGGCATTTTGTTTCAGTCTGTACCTTAAAGTTTCCTTGTGCTTTTGCTTTGTCTCTTTTTGTAGAATTTTTGTAGTTATTTTCTCCCACTAGTGGATGATTGGAATGTTTAAAATTGAAGTTATCTATTATCTATCCGGAAGGACTGGCTTTTTTTTTCTTTTCAGTCCATCATCCTTTGGTGGTGTTTGTAGCTGTACCTTGATGTCTCTTGTTTTCTGATCCACACTTGTTTTCTATTGTGATCTTTCTGCTGTTCAACTCCCATCTCTTCTACCATAAAGTTGTCTATATCACTTTGTTCTGAGAAAATCTTGAGAGATTCCATAATATTTTTGGATTTCTTTCCTCCACAATTCTGTGGCAACATCTGTCAGGTAAAGTTTGCTGTGAAGGAAGAGATAAAGAGCAAGTGAACAAGCTGAGTTGGTACAGTCCTTACTAAATCTGTGCCTCTGCTGTGCTTTCCTGCTAGTAAAGCAAGCACCAGGGATCTGTGGGTAAAGAGTGACCCTGATGTTACTTTATATATAGCATCATCTAACTGCTCAGTAAAGACAGCTTGAATGGAGAGTACTTAGGAACTGCTGTTGACTATAATGGATAAATGAGGAATGTTAGTTTTGAGGTTTATATTAAAATCCCGTAGTTGCTTGAAGTCTCTCCAAATTTGGTCTCAACATCAGTTCCTGGTATAAATTAAGTTTTAAAAAATATCGTTTTTTGTTTTACAATAAAAACTTTGTGGTGAAGGAATATTGCCTATATATAGCCAGACCTGTTAATGTCAGAATAAGCACTTTTGTATGTTAAACAAATCTATTACTACTTCATTTTCGCAAACGACATTTTTTTTTTTGGAAATACAGCTTCTTGATTAATATATATTTCCTTGGAGCAGATTCATCTTCCTTTCAAATTCTCCCCCGTCAGCATTAAATCTTATTGAGCAAGTGGGTGACTGATTGTGAAGTGATTTCAACTCAGCTAATATTTGAGTTCTGTGTAAGCTCTTGTACTTAGTAACAGATAATATAGAGCCAATCCTAGGTTCTTTAGAACAATGAGAACATGCCAGTCAAACTGAATGAATACTGGATTTCCCCAGTAATAACATAAATGGCAATTAATAAATGCAACCTTTCCTCTAATATTAAATGGGAATATTATACATTTATTTTTGTTCCATTTTTTTATTTTATTTTCCCCTTTTACAGTTGATACTTATTGGCTATACCTTTTACAGTGCATATCCAAAAATCTGGAGATTAAATGCAAATGCACTACCTCAATTTGTAGACTCCATGAATATAGATTAGTATTGATACACAGTCTTCATTTTTATTTTAACACAATAAGGGCACATCTACGCTAAAGCATTATTTCAAAATATCTAATTTCGAAATAGTTATTTCAAAATAAGATATTTCGAAATAACGCATGTACACACAAAATACATTTTGAAATAGCATTTGGCTATTTTGAAATAGCACGTACACACTGAATGGATGCTGAATCGCATTAAAGGCTGGATGGAACCAGGTCCGGCAGGGCATCAGGTCAGGAGTTACTCTGCGTGACTGAGGCTATATGATGCCTGTGCTTAAAGGGACCCTCCTGGACAGCTGGTTCTCAGGTTTCCCTGCTTGCTTGCCTACCTCGATGAGGGACAGCAAAGCATTTTGTTTCTGCGTGCTCTGGTTGCCCTCACTTGGGACACCATAGCACTCTGCAACATGGAGCCAGAGCTGACCCTGAGCACTATGGTGCTTCTCGTGGACGCGTTGCTGTGATCCTGGCTGCACTTTCTGTAGGCTGCCATCCGGGAGGCCCATCAGGGGGCTGTCAGTATTCAGGAGGCCCTGCGGGAGAACTTCCACCCTGTGGAGCACTAAGAGCCTCCCTGGTCTGCCTCACTGAGTGCTTGTGCCTCATTCCTCCCTCACATCCTTCCACTTACCCCTCTCTAACTCTTCTTTCTGATGAAAAATAAAATGCATGTATTTTTATGAACACAAACTGTCTTTATTTAACAAAACTGGGGGGGGGATGAAACTCTGGTGAGACTGGGGAAAGGGGAGGAGAGAGGGTGGGAGAGTAGAGGGGGAAACCTGGGAGGAGGAACCTGGAAGGGAGAAGCAAGGGGAAGAAGGGGGAGGGGAAGCTCAGGTCTCAGGGTTGGGAGTCTCGCCAGACCAACTTGATTGTCATGCAAACCTGCTCCTGGGTTTGCATGTGGCCTTTGGTGGCCAGGCTAGCAGCTATCCTGCTATTGAAAGCCGCGTTATTTCGAAAAAACTTTGATGTGTAGACATATCCTAAGCTGTGTTTTCTATTCTTGCTTCCTCCATTTGGTGTTAGTTGTGCTGATAGGCAAGCTGTAAAAATCAATACAAGAAATAAATTTGCTAGACATGTAGAGCTCGTCGAGACTATGGGGAAGATTTGAAAGAGGATATGCAAATTCTGTGGGAATTTGCATATCTTCTTCTGGTCTCACTTTCAAAAGCGGAGCTTTTTAAAGTGAAAGTAGTTTAGATGTGGCTTTTTCGGCGAACTCCCCCTCGTCAAAAAGCTGCGTAAACCTCATTTTACAGTGGTTAGAGGCCACAATCTCAGCTAAGAATCAGGAAAATGCCATATCACTCCATTAAGGTTACGAGACGTAACTACCCACAATCTTCTGATCTCCCTTTTTCTATCCAATGTTCTGCATGGAGTTGATGGTTGATGTTAGGGTAGAGAAGTCCACCACTACTTTCTCTTCCAGTCAAGGACCTAGGCAAAAGCTTAGGGATGCCCAAACCCATGTCCTCAGGGATGAGGTGTCTTCGGAGGAGAAGGTGAGTGGATGAAACTTTACAGGATGAAATAAAACCTGAACTCTGATCATGAGAGCCATGTTTTTACTAGTAAATTGATGTTTACTAATGTATTGTAAATAATGACTAGCTCATGGCAATAGTGGTACAGTAAAACTCTGATGGTCCGGCATTTGATGGTCCAGCACTCCTGATGGTCCGGCACCATCAGGAACCCGGAAGTGCTCCGGGCAGCCAGACCATTGGAGTGCTCTGCCCCCAGCTTCCCCGATTCAGCTGCTGCTAAAACTGACCAGTGGCTGAATCGGGGAAGCCGGGGGCAGAGCAGCTGGAGTGCCGCCGGGGAGGGCCTGTAGCGCTGCCCCTCAGGGCCGCAGGA